CTTGTCAAATGCTCGCCTTTGCTCCCTCCTCTTGCTCCAATTCTTTGCCCCGTCTCCTCCCTTTCCATTTTATATTGTTACCTCCGTGCATAACTCCCACCTCTGCTGTATAATAGTTTAAGAGTTTACTTCAAATCCTTTCCACTTCCTCCACTTCCTTCCTTTACTTCTTTTTTTAAAATTTTGCCAGAGGGCATGTGCTTGAGAAAGAGAGGGAGAGAGGGAGAGAGAGAGGGAGAGAAAGTGCCCCTCTGTGAGACATCGCACCACAATCCCTTCTCCTCCATTTCTCCTTCCTAGCGGGATTGAGGGCATGCAGGCACACGTGCCCGGCGTATTTCCGAAGCCACAGGATCCAGAACTCAAGCCATGCAGCCACCTTGACCACCACTCACAAGACGGCCCCGTCCTCCCCTTCCTCACGCGGGGCTTCCTCACGCGACTGGTCACACCTCTCTCTCTATTCCATGCATTTTGACAGGGGCATGTCACCTCTAGTCGAGTAACACATGGTTCTTGAGGAAGAGGAGCAAAAACTCTTAGCTATTACAATGGCCTGTGGCTCTCCGAATGGACCTACAGTCTTACAGTATCAAAAGCTCACGGTGGGGGGAGTTACAGGGAAAATACCTACAAGGGCTCTTTGGCAGTTGGGGCAGGAGACACGGGGAACAGTGTTGAGAGACATTGATCTACAATATTGATGCTTATACAATATCTAAAACAATGCCTAGTACATAATAAAAGCCCAATATGTTTATTGTGCACGTTCTATGTTCAGACCCCGTACTAAGGTGGTTTTTTCCCCAATGAGTTTGTATGAGAGAGAGAGAGAGAGAGAGAGAGAGAGAAAGAGTGCCCCCGGGAGGGCCTGGTCATGCCACAGTCTTTTTCCTCCACTCTCAGTCCCTTCAGAGTCCTGGGCGTGCATACCACCAGGGCTAGGATTTGAACTGTGGTCAGCTACGTGGGATCCTGCCCCCTCTGCACAGCACTTAGACTCTGTACTGCAGGGGCTACCCCTGAGATGTTTACCTAGGTTGCCTCATTTCACCTGACACTTCCCCCACTCGGAAAGTCCCATGATCATTACGCTGCTTTCATTGCCCAGTGTCACACCTCTGGTCATTGAGAGGAAGTACTTGAACCTCTGATTTCAAGTCCAACCCCCCGATGCAATGTGGCGTGAGCCCTCTTCCAATGGGGTGCGTCACTGACCACAGGGCCAGAGAAAGGAGGGAAGGATGGGATTAAGCAGTCTGTGCAGCCGTCAGTGGCCCTGGAGTGACGGAGGGTGTCCTGTGTGTCCAGGGCCATGATGATGACCGCCTGTGATCTCTCAGCCATCACCAAGCCCTGGGAGGTGCAGAGCAAGGTACGGACTCCTGTCCCGAGAGGAGGGCACCCCCAGTACAAGTGACAGCAGGTGACGGGGCCCAGCTGCAGAGCCAGCCTGCCCCTGCTCCATCCTCCTCTGCCAAGGTGTGGGGTCCCCTTAGGGTCTCTCCAATGAGACAACAAAGTGGGGGTAGCAGGGCGCAGGTGGGTATATCTCTGGCTGAGTTCAAAATGCAAGCGGGGTGGGAGGATTGAGGCTGGGGCTTTGACGCGGTGGGGGCGGGAGGGTCTATCTGCTGCAGGTAGCTTTGCTGGTTGCTGCTGAATTCTGGGAGCAAGGTGACCTGGAGCGCACGGTGCTGCAACAGAACCCCATTGTGAGTAGAAGGGACGTCAGCGGGCGTTCAGTGTGCGCGATCGCATCCTGTCCTGGAGATGCAGTCCCCTGGCCCTAATGGAGAAATGACCTTTCTCTGATGCAGTGCTTTTCTAAGGTGGTTCCCGGACCATCACCAATCTCACGACTCAGGACACGTTAGAGACAGGAATTCAAAGACCCCACCCTGAACTCACTCGACCAGCAGCTCCGAGCCCTCCTGAGGTCGGAAAGCCCCACTCTCGCGTGTGTGTCCTTAGCGCACTCAGCTGCATAGAGGTGGAGAAGTGGACCCCCAAAGGTAGACTGCTTTGTGGTTCCAGCAGCAGAGGTCTACCTCCCCTGACCTGCCCTAACAGCAGAGCCAGCCCTGAAAGCTAACGTGGTTGGGACGGTCTGCCAGTTTCCCACTGCAGATGAGGAGCCCGGACAGACGGCTTCCCAAAGGCCCTGAGGGCAGAACTAGGAAGTAGAGGTGGGTTTGGAGAGGATGGGTAAAAGAGAGACATTCTGGGAACAGACCAGTGCTATGGGGCAGGCTAAACCTGTGAGTGGGCTAGGCACACAGGTGTTACCATGTCCGACTTAGGCAGGAGGCACAGAGGAGTAGAACACCGGGAGGAGCAGGTGGGTGTTGTGAACTAGAACCGCCAAGGGCCCACAGGTTTTGTAGTTCTCTCTCCTTTTAACTTTATTATTATTAGGTTCTTTTTTTAAATAGGTTTTGCCTTAGGGTGTGTGTATTCACCAGTGAGAGAGAAAGAGACAATGAGGAGGAAAGTGAGAAATCATCCCCTGGGGGGATGGCCATACCACAACCCTTTCTCTTCTCCTCCTGGGATCTTGGGCATGCATGCACATGCACCCAGTGTGATTTTCAAGCCACCAGGTCTGAGACTTCAACTGTGGTAGGCCACATGGGAGCCCAACGACGTAACTTCAGACAGATGGGGAAACAGCTTTGCCATCTGCTGGCCCTATTTTTAGGTTTTTGTCATAAGAGTGTGTGTGCTCACCAGATAGGAGAGAGACAGAGAAAGGGAAAGTAAGAAACCACCTCCAGGGGAGGACGGTCACACCACAATCCTTTCTCTTCCATTCTTGTCTCGGGATTTGGGGCATGCGCACACACCCGTGCCTGGTGTGATTTTCAGCCACCTGGTCCAGGACTCAAACCACAGTTAGCTATGTGGAGTCCAGTGCCTTAACAATCACGCCACCTGCTGGCCTCTCTTTTTAACAGGAAATAGCAGACACTACACATCCACCAGCCAGATTCGACAATTCGCAGCAGTCTATTATTCCTGTTTAATCTGCTCTCTCCCCGTGCATCTTTGTTTCCTTTAGCTAGAGAATTTTAAAGTAAATCCCAAATATTTCCATTTAGTTCACAAATACTTTAGCACATATCTCTAAGAGGTAAGAAATCAATACAGACAAAACCATAGACACAAAGTTAGTCTCCTTCCTAAGAAACCCACTGCTTCCAAATCCCTGTTTTCTGTGCTATGTATTTTGTTACCCATGAGGAGACCGAGGTCAGAGATGAGAAATGATGGTCCCAATGTCACTGGAAGAATGTCTCAGGGCAGAATTCGACTGTCTCCTGACCTAGTCCAATCATTATCACACTCACCAAATTAGCAATAATGCTTTAATATCATCTCGTTCCCAATGCCTATTTTCCCTGATTGACAAAAAGAATTCTATTTATTTGTTCAAGTTAGGACCCAATTAAAGAACATACTGCCTCTGGCTGTTCTGTCTTTCAGTTAGTACCAGGTTTCTCCTACCCAGCCCCTCCTCTCTTCTGATTTCTATCTTTTTTTCCTTTCTTTCCATACCATTTCTTTGTTGAAGACAATAGATCTTTGCTGTATAGAGCTTCCCACACTTTGTACTTAGTTGACTGCACACTCGTGGTGTTATTTGACACGTTCCTCTATTCCCCGTGTTTCCTGCAAACAGCTAGTCAAATCTGGAACTTGCTAAGTTTGTGGTTTGACTTTTTATCTTTTTCCTCTAACAAGAACGCTTTGTAAGCAGGGTGGTCCCTCTTACCGCCCAGCGCACTGAGCTCTTTCTGCTCCTGACAGCCCATGATGGACAGAAACAAGGCAGATGAACTCCCTAAGCTCCAGGTCGGCTTCATCGACTTTGTGTGCACCTTTGTCTACAAGGTAGGCTCTGTGCTTCCTCAGACCCAAGAAGATAAGCCTGAATTTCCAAACAACACTGGGGACGAATCCCGGCAGGTGACCAGTGGGTAGTACTTTTTTATCTCCAGTGGCATTTGGCCCTCACGATAGCTCAATGGATGTTGGGTGACTATATTCCTAGGTTGGAGCTTGGAGCTTGGCATGTCTTCTTTTTTTTTTTTTTTTTTGAGGGGCTTTTTCGATAGCGCGTATGTGCTCACCAG